AAAAGGGATTTTTCTGTTTTGATATAATTATATAACTTTTTTTTATGATAATATTTCGGCAAGTTTTAAAATACTAATCTCTCATTGGTTTGCAATTTTGATTAGCAAACAAAATTATGCATTAAAAATGATGTCTTCCGTTATACAGAACTCATGTAAAAGAAAAAAAAATTGCCATACTAGTAAATATCTCCTTGAAGGTCTATGTAAATAACAAGAGCCTATGGTAAGCTACATAACATTTCTAGTTGTACTTTACATTTTCTTTATTTCTTCTACATGAAATTTTTCAATCCATAATAAAAATCACTTAAGAATTCATGAACAGAAATTGTATGCTCCCATTAGAAGTAATTTTCAAACTTCATAATAAATTAATGATACTGAGATGCAATATCTTAAATTATTTGTTTCCAGCTTCCTTGTCAACTTAAATTCTTTTTTAATTCCCTATTTAAATTGTAAATCCACAAGAAAACATTAGCATTGAAATGCAGGTTTTCTTACAATGGTTTAAACTTTATTGAAATTCATCATAGTATATTACAGACATTGCATTTCAAAATATGACTTAATTTTCGGCAAATGCTTTTCATTGAAATATGGCACTATGAATCTGGAAGTTCAACATTTGCATATTCACTTTGTTACTTAGGTGACTTAGGGTGTAAAACAATGTGCATTAGATTGTCATCAAGGGAGGAGGGTGAGGAATGTATCTTATGACAGTTTAGTGTCACTCTTGTTTATAGAAAATATTTTAGCCTCAAGTTAACACAAGATTTAGACCATCCTTAAAGGAACTCCACAGAGTTTCAAAACCCTACTAACATGAAAGTTGAATTCTTACATAAATCAGCTTGGGCACATAAAACAGAAAGATATACAAAAGAATTTTAAAAATATACTATGTAAAAAAAAAAGAATATCAAATTTTAGTCCTATCCTAAGCCTGATTTGAGAGAAAAGCATTGCAACATTTTTTAATTTTGTGTCATTTTTTACAATTAGAATGATTATTCTGGAAAAAAAAATGGAGTGAGCAAATAATCTAAAATTTTGCAAAAAAAATATTGTTCTACACCTATATTAAACGGAACATTTATCAAGAAAAATTATTTCCAATCCTGTCATATCAAAAAACCCAGTTGAGTTCCCTTATAAAAATCCACTGAATAGGACCTAAGGACTGGTAGCAACTTATCACTTTATGAGCCAATTTTAGTTTAATATACATGTATCTATAAAAATAAAACACTAAAACAGAAGTATAAATAGAATAGGACATGCAGGAATGTCACTCTATACTGAAGAGTTAAACACTAACATACTTAGTGCTCAGAAGGTTATTAGAAACACTGAAACATATTTATTGCTGTGAGAACACACATCACATTCTGTGAAACTCATACAGAAATGTACTGAACAATATTTGCACTGTTAAATTATTACTATAGAGGTTTGTTTGAGCATATAAACAGCAATAGTTTAATAAAAATCTGTATTAGCACAACCTTTCTGATCAATGTTACATACAATACATATTGAGGGTTGAATGCAGTACAGTTGTAAGTCCTTCTGTATTTCATATAAGTTACTGTAGTTTTGCGGTCAACCTTCGATATAATAATGCGATGAATAACTTATATAAAAAAAATTATCTTTAAAACTCAAGTCGCTTTAGAGTTTAAACTATGAATATAATTTTTAACATGATTCCAACTTATTATAACATACCCTTTTACATTGATTTACATAAATAATATAATACATGTACTAAACTTCCATTTTCTATTGCTTTTTGATGAAAAAGTTATATAACTTGAACCAGAGAGGTTGAGTTGTTACAGATTACAATAATATAATAATGACTATCTCTTGAACTTATATGATAAATTATAAAGATGACTATATAATGGCGGTGATGATCCTGTAGGCCATGAATATGTCTCGTACTAGCGAAGCAGATCAGTGGCGCTCCTACAAAATGACATAGACACGTGTGTAAGTCACATCAAATCCATCAACAACACATGTTATATTACAGTGGAAGGTACACAGCAATATCGCAATGCTATAAAAGTGCGGATATACATCACATATATTCATAGAATCTTAAAGTTATAAATGTTTCACTAGGTTGTCGTATATATTTATTTTTATACTAATAAAGCTTTTCCAGTTTTTCATTTCCTATCAGAAAATATGCTCACTGGTCCTTTGGCATTGAACTCAGTAAAATTTAAATAGTAATTTGATAAAAAAAATTAAGATCAGTAGAAAGTTAATAATATTTGAGCCAAAATAGTGGGGAATAATTGAAATAGTTCCTATAATTCCTACCTAGCCTATAGCAATTTTTTTAATTTGTTACCACATTTGGAGCTAATTTAAAAGAATGATAGTCTTAAACCAAGGTTTTCTTTTATCAAAATGTGTTTTTCAAAGTGTAATAAAGAATTAATATCTATGTAAAAGGAACCCAACATATAATAACTATAACAGGATTCCACAGACAACATTTAAGTGAATATATATTATTTTATTATACATATGTTAAGATGATAAAGCATATATGTAAAAGGACATGATCATAACTGCAGATTGACATGGTGATATTGGGTCTGCCTCAAATACAGGTATTACATGTGCTAAACAAATGAAAGAAAAAAATATATAATAATTATGTAAGTAGTAGCTTATAACATTGGCAAGTTATTAAAATATTAAGGAGACAGGTCTAGGTCTAGTAAGTCCAGTATAATGTTCAAGTAACTTGGAAATCATTTCAACATGTCTAAAATAGGACATTTCTGTAAACCAGTACTCTGATGGTGAACATTGTATCTATCATTACTTTAGATTATTGCTGATTGTAGACCTACATTATGTTGAGGGCGGTGCTATAACCCAATACACATGTATATAAATGGTACAGGCATGCAGCTATCATGGTGGCTCACCAAGATTAGATAAGCTAAATGATTATCTAGAGAATTAGAGCAGAAGAGCATCTCTGTTTTGTAAAGACAGCATGCAAGAAGAAAGCAAGTTCTGCACTGATTCTAAAATTTATAAATAATAAGAAAATGGAGTAAGAAGCAAAGAAAATAGTATAAATTCTCTCATCTATTACCATACACCTTCTATCAGCCATTTCTTGCTTACTTGTAAAATGAAATTGTCCTGCTTTAAAATTAGTGCAGTGAACAGTAATATTTAGAGGTTTAACCCTTAACTGACTAGATTTTTTAATGGTTTTGTCCAGCTTCTGTCTTGGGAAATGTCCATTATCAACTTTGGGGATTTCAAGATGAAAATCTAAAGTACAAATGTGCATGTTGATCTGATTCTAAATAAGAGGCAAAGGCTTTTGATTCCAAATGGTTGAAAGTTAAAAACAAATACACTATAAATGAGCAGTTAACTGTATAGAAATTTGAATCTGGTCCATACTACATATTGGCTGGCTTGCCTATAGATATTTGACTTAAGGCTATAATTATCACATTAATTATATACATCATGAATTTTAAAAGCATTGAGAAATATTTCTGTCCATGGATTGTTTTTATTTCAACACTTAGGATAAACTAGAAATATATAAAGAACCTTAGTATAATATGAAGATTATTCAAATTTCTGATGACTTAAAGGTCTGAGGACTATGCATCAAAAATGACTTTCAATAATTATTAAATAATGGTGTCATTTAAGACATGTTAGTTAGCAATGTTTGATCACATTAATTAATAGCTGCCTAATGAGAATAGTAGTTGATAAAGATGTAAATTAAAGAGTGTTCTTCTTTAATGAATCAATGAATACTGGAGTTTTACTGGTGTGTATAATGATGATGATAATAGGAAATACAAAAAAGCAGATCTAGAAACATTTGATTAATAATCAGCTAAGTATATACAAAATAATGGCCCCAAGTTTAGAGGTATGTAGTCTCGGTTGTTTCATTAATTAACTCTGTTACCTGAGACTGATCAGAATTGCCTTTATCTTTATCTCCGGGATTTACATTCAGTCGCTGTTGTGACAGGGTGGTCTCAAGTGTAGGCGGGGCAGGTTTCACTGACTCAAACTTTGCGAGTGTCTCTGGGTCTACATTTTCCTTTATTCTATTAACATACCAATCATGATTCTCTACAGTGGCTAACACACCTCCTGTGTTTTTGTGAACAACATTAGCATGGTATGGTATAGGTTTTCCGTGTAAATCTGTTAATTTACCACCTAATGAATGTAGAATGGCTTCTGGTGCACAAGTATCCCATTTCTTACAGTGGATACTGGCAAAAACATAAGCATGTGCTTTCTTCTCTATCAATAACAATACCTGAAATAAAGTATCTACTTAATAAACATCCACAGGGACAAACTACATACATTAGTAATAGATGATATATATGAAACAATAATATAAGTCATAAATATTGAAATATGAAAAATATTGAAAGCATGACTGTTCACTATTATAGTAATGTCAAACATGAAATTCATGAAGCTTGTGTTGAGAATTTAGGAAGAAAATGACTTCTGTGTATGCAGCATTACTAAAGTAGAAACGCCAAACAAAAGTGAGTCTAATTACTATCCATATCAGTCAAAGTCAGGCAAAATCCTATACAATGTACAACATATTGTACATCATTGCATTACCTGAAAAACTTAATAAAATCAAATGAGTGATTATAATTTCTTTAAATCAATAAACCCTATCTTAGTGGCACAATATCTTATCATTTTTTGTGGTAAAATCCACAAACAAATCAAGATCTATTTTCAGTGTATATTATATAAGAATGGGTTTGGTGCTGCTTCCCTTGAAAGGATAATGTAAACAAACCTTATGCCCGGCCCCGCCCACTCTGAGTACCTCTGTGGGATCGCAAGCCTGCACAGTCTTTGTAATTGTGTAGTCCGAATGAGATCTAGTTGTTGTTATTATTCTACCTTCTAAATTCTCATTACGTTCAAAACCAAATGATCCTGTAAATTATTAAAGCTTACATTTAGCAATGTTAACTTTTATTTCTGTATAAAGGTAGACTATGGGTAATGCATTACCTCCACTTTGAAGAGTATTCAAATTGGCTAGAAACGCTTGCAAACTACATTGAAATTGAGGAGCGTGGGTTCAAACCCCAGAAGGGGCAACTTTTTTCTTTCTTTCTTTTTTTCTTTTTAACATTATTTATGTATCTCTCTGATCTCTTTGGTTTAAATTATATAATTATTGTAGGTATTTATTTGCTAAATAATGCCAAAATTTATAGTAAATATGATACCAGATATTTAAATAAAAACTACACGGTTAAAGTATTTTATATTTCGCATGATCAATCAATAAACCTTTAAGAAAATTTAGGCAAACTTTGAAAACAGCCCCCCCCCCCATTATAGCAAATTTTTGAATATTTTAAATAAGGCATTTTAGATAGGGAAATGGTAAAATTAGTGTTTAAAGTGGGTGGGGTAGGGTAACTTTTTTATACATATTAAGATTATTTTGTTTAAAAACAAATATTTTGCTTGTGTAATTTGTTACCTGAATGTTATTATTTGTTTCTTAACCATGGGCAATAGAAAAATATTTTTTATAATGATGATATTACAGATTATTTAGAGTTTCCTCATTTCTGAAAATAAGCCCTTCTAATGGCAAAGTCTTAGTTATAGAAATATATCCATAACTCATAAACCACACGGTAAATTTTATTTAAATTTTGCATATAGGTGACCTTGAAAGACATATAACTGTCCTATGTTGTCATTTTTACAGTTCCTTATGGTGCCCATTACCCATGGTCTACCTTAAGGGAAGCAGTGACAGTGGTTATCTCTGGCATCTGCCCAGAGGTCGATGGGTCAAGCCCTTCAATGGTTTTGTTACTAGTACAACAACAGAACTTGTTAATACAACAAGAACTGTCGGAGGACAGTAAAGCTCGACTATTCGAAAATTTGTCACAAGGGTATTTCATTGAGTATAATAATGCTTACCTATATGAATACATAAAATTGTCCGAAAAGGTACATTCCCTTCAGTAGTTATGGAGATACAAGCTTACATACAAAAACTTAACCAAGATTTTCTAAGTCGAAAAAGGGGCATAATTATGTTAAAAAGCAAATCCGAGTTATGGGACTTGTGCCAATCATCTAAGATAATCAGAGAGAACAAGTGTGTGAAGTTTTCAATCCATTACCTTCAGTAGTTATGGAGATACCAGCTTACATGCAAAAACTTAACCAAGAATTTTCTAAGTCAAAAAGGGGCATAATTATGTAAAAAAGCAAATTTTAGAGTTATGGGACTTGTGCCAATTATCTTAGATAATCACAGAGAACAAGTGTGTGAAGTTTCAATCCATTCCCTTCAGTAGTTATGGAGATACCAGCTTACCGCAAAAACTTAACCAAGAATTTCTTAAGTCGAAAAAGGGGCATAATTATGTAAAAGAGCAAATCAGAGTTATGGTACTTGTGCCAAATCGTCTTAGATAAACACAGAGAAAAGTGTGTGAAGTTTCAATCAATTGCCCTTCAGTAGTTATGGAGATAACAGCTTACATACACAAACTTAACTAGAATTTCTAAGTCGAAAAAGGGGCATAATTATGAAAAAAAGCAAACGCAGAGTTATGGGACTTGTGTGCCAATCATCTTAGATAATCACAGAGAACAAGTGTGTGAAGTTTCAAAATCCATTCCCTTCAGTAGTTTTATGGAGATACCCAAGCTTACATACAAAAACTTAACCAAGAATTTCTAAGTCAAAAAAGGGGCATAATTATGAAAAAAAGCAAATCAGAGTTATGGGAACTTGTGCCAATCATCTTAGATAATCACAGAGAACAAGTGTGTGAAGTTTCAATCCATTCCCTTCAGTAGTTATGGAGATACCAGCTTACATACAAAAAACTTAACCAAGATTTTCTAAGTCGAAAAAGGGGCATAATTATGAAATAAAACAATTCAGAGTTATGGGACTTGTGCCAATCATCTTAGATAATCACAGAGAACAAGTGTGTGAAGTTTCAATCCATTCCCTTCAGTAGGTATGGAGATACCAGCTTACATACAAAAACTTAACCACAGGGACGCCGACGCCGACAAATGGGTGACTGCATTAGCTCGATTATTCTGCGAATAGTCGAGCTAAAAACTGGATCTGAAAAGACAATGTTTCCTGGCTGACTGAATTTCAAATTTTCACTGGACAATTATAGATTGCCATATATAACTTTTTCTTGCATATCAGACAGGATTATCTACCATTTACACCAGTGCTAGAATAACCTGACTTACACTACCATGTCAGACAAGTCACATGCTTTAAATGACGTCATTCCCGCGTGCCTTTTATGAATGAATTGCGTTCTTAGGATGATGTCATTTTACTGTTATGAATGAAGTTGTGGTTTGTAAGAAAAAGTGTGTAATGAGAACATCAGTTTTCATAATTTCTGTTCTGAAAATAATTGATATGTTATATGCAAGAAAAAGAATCAAACACCAGCTGTCAGTACAGACTGGAATATCTAGCTCTCGGTAAATGTTAAGCGGAAACTCAGCAGAGCTTTTTTACCGCCTATACAGTAATACCCTCAAGCTAGATATTCCGGTCTGTACCGACAGCCAGTGTAAGAATACTAAGATTCTTATAGTCTATAATAGTTTTAACACTTTGCAAAATTTAATACATAATTGTTATATATATCTATATGAACCAATACAAAATATTTATTAGATACTGCAATATATTTAGAAAGTCACCAACATCAACTATAAGATTCTATGACAATTATCCAGCTTTATCTCTGTTTTCCATTTTTCAAGCATAGACAAGACAAATCACTGAACCTCCAAAAGCTGTCTTTATCATATTTTTTTGGTATTTTCTTGAAATCAAGGAATTCGATACCTTAATAAAATAGGATCAAATCTACAGATAAAAGGTACAAATGACCATAAGTTAACAACTTTTACAATTAAGTCACAGAGACCACCGGTATTATAGATCATATATATTTCATTTTTAAGTTTAAGACAAAGTCTCACAAATGTTCAATGAATGACTCTCTCACAGGTCTTTAAAACAGGTTTGACTGTTGAAGAATAACTACTCACCTAGACCAAGTATTCCCCAGATACACCTAGATTTGCCATATTTAGGTAATTCTTCATAGTTATGGAAGGGTTGGTTAATTATGCCAGCAGTTGCCACACCACGTATAGCAATACCTATCAAAACTGTCACATGATCCAGGAAACCTACAATTACAATAGTTTTACTGATATTTTCATGTTTATTACATATTCTACAATACTATTATATATTCATGTTTAATCTAACACTACCCGCATTTTTCCCTTTTGAACACAGAAGGAGTGAAAATGTGTGTAAATATGCAATAAAATCACTGTTGATGATCTATATTTAGACAAGTGCCGTAACCATTAACAAGAACTGTTGGAGGACAGTAACCCTCGACTATTCGAAGTTGTCACTAAGGGTGTTACATTGAGTATAATAATGCTTACCTATATGAATACATAAAATTGTCTGAAAAGGTACAAAGGCTTGTTATTTAGATGTTTTACCCAGTAAATTACTGCTTTATTATTATGAATGCATAAAATTGTCCCAAAAAAAGGCACAAACCCTTCAGTAGTTATCACATATTATGTTACAAACTTCTTTTCCTTTCTTTGATTTCACATGATTGTGTATTGTATAATCATGTATATAACCTTACAAAAGTTGAATTATAAAACTAAAATAAGCTGACAAACTGGCACATCTATACATAATTTTAAGAAACAAACCCTCTGTAAATTCTTTAGTTCCATCTAATGGGTCTACCCAAATAACTATCTGCAAAATAAGAATATAACACATTGGTTTAAACAATACATTTTTTTTGTTGATTTTTGGAATTTTAGTTGCACTATCATTGATAACATCAAATGGCAACTTTCAAGCTTTTCTGGTGAAAAAAGACCTTAGATGTCCATTTAAGCATAATTTAGGGCAAAGCAGGCACTTAATTAGAATTACTATTGCTTTATATAAGCTAGCTGGATACCTTTTTTGATTGAAATTATTCCAAGTCCTTAATGCTTACTATAGGATAGGATTATGCCAAACTGAATTCTTTGTTTAAAAACTTAGAGATGATTATTTGAAAAAAAAAGAGCATCATCTTTTTAATAAATATGATTCAATTTAAATCTAAATTGTTACATTTCTAAGAACACATACATGTGTATATGCTATATAGTAAATATTGCTTTTTAGTGTGCATTACATGTATATGTTTTATAAAAATATTTCACCTTTCTTATCATAAATCATATTATTATTTAAGATATACATTATACAGCAGACTATGGAGTATTAACTGAAAAGAATCACAGATATATATAAACCATTGATACATTCTATAATTAACATGAATACAACAAACGTTGTCTAGAATTGTTATGATATTTACATCTTCATTTTTGATATTTTGTAAATTCTTCGGACATTCATGTTTCAGTACTTCTTCATCAAATCCTAGCTCAAAAAAGTTGTCTGGAATTTTGGTTGTTGGAGCTAATTCCTACAATGGAAAAATCATACATCATATATGTGCTATAAGAATATTTAACACTACATATGTTCTCTTTTTGTTTTATCACAAATTTGTGAGTGCCACATATAGTCTCATGATTCAAGGGTAATAATAATTTATAGTAAATAAGATATGTTTGTAAAACATGTATCCCCCCTATGGACAGCCAATTAGTCATGTGATCAGGTTATTATGCATGACTTCTGACCCAGTGAACAAAAAATTATTAAGGGTTATCTACTGGTCATGACTAGTCACAAGGTAATAATTATTGTGACCCCATAGGTTGTGTGCAGCAATTTAAGTTATTACAAATCTTACCAAATAAAATATGCATAAATTTTATGAATCATGTAGGCCTCATTAATGACAGCCAAGTTGTTATATTACATAAGACCTTTCAAATGTGTATACAAAAGCATTTTTAGTTTAATATAAAAATATCAACCAAGGCAACTTGAGTTGTTTAGTTATTGGTCAGAAACCATCTAAAAGTACAAAGTCAATTTTGACACGGACCCCTTGACCCCAAAATCAATAGGGGTCATCTACTGGTCATCGACCAATCATCATATAAAGTTTGAATTCCTAGGCCTAAGCGTCCTTTAGTTAATTGATCGGAAACCGTTTTTTACTTACAAGGTCATGTGACCTTGACTTTTGACATCCAAAATCAAATAGGGGTCATCTAATGTCATTGACCAATCATCATATAAAGTTTGAAGTTTCCTAGACCTAAGCGTTCTTTAGTTATTGATCAGAAACCGTTTTTACTTACAAGGCCAATGTGAACTTGACCTTTGACCCAAAATCAATAGGGGTCATCTACTGGTCAAGACCAATCATCATACCAAGTTTGAAGTTCCTAGGCCTAAGCGTCCTTTAGGTAACTAGAGTGGAAACCATTTTTAACTTCAAGTAAATGTGACCTTGACCCCAAAATCAATAGGGTTCAAATGCTGGTCATGACTAATCATAATACCATGTTTGAAGTTCCTAGGCCTAAGCGTTCTTAAGTTATTGATCGGAAACCGTTTTTACCTACAAGGTCAATGTGTCCTTGACCTTTGACCCCAAAATCAATAGGGGTCATCTACTGGTCATGACCAATCACCATACCAAGTTTGAAGTTCCTAGGCTTAAGGGTTCTTTAGTTATCACTTGGAAACCATTTGGTCTACGGACCGACAGACAGACAAATGCAAAGCAATATACCCCCTCTTCTTTGAAGTGGGGGCATAATTATTTTGGCCTACATATAAACCAAGAAAATGTTTAATATAACATATATTCTGTTATCATAAATGGTGCTCTGTGCTCTACAGAAAGAAACAAACCTGACGATTAAGCATAAATAAAAAAATCTTTAACAGGGTATCAGGTTATCTAACATTTCAAAATAATATAGTTACATAAACAAATATAGTTTATCACTCAGTAAAACTGCATGATTCCATATGAGCCAAAATATTTCAAGAAAATCAAACTTGAGAAATATGTACTAAGATTTTAAGAAAAGTAATAATTAACATTGTATGTGCAATAAATATTTGTTTTTGCAGTATTTATCAACATATTTCTACTGCATGACTTACAGCAAGGGCTACTTTAAAAGTACCCAGAGGGAACCCTGCTTTTGAATAACTTGACATCTTTTCGGAAATTTACAAGGATTGTTAGTGCTGTTTGCAATGTGTAAATAACTTTCTTTGTTCACTTCACAACATTATACGTTTAAAAAAAATTTCAAAATTAACAAGAATCTTGGGACATGCCACTTTTAACAGATAAAAATGTGAAGAAAAAACAAGCAGACAAAAGACAACAATATAAACAGATGAAAAAAAAAAATTTGTAACATATTATGAACTTTAGTTAATTAAGTGTTGATAAACTAGAACGATCATGTATTGAATACAACATCGTAACAGGTTAAAAACTAGGTTTGATTTTTATCTAACTTATTTAACAAGTTTAAAATCAGTGGTTGACCTGTGAGTCCTTCATACTTTATATAATTACAATTAACAAGTTTATATAAAACAAACACCAATAAATAAAATAACTTGTGGCAATTTAGTTTGACATTTATTTCACTTGAAGTGTAATTTGTTGCTATTATTTTGTGTATGTTAGGTTAAATGAACAGAAAACAATAAAAAGAATATTTTTTACTAAAAGAATACACATGTATTTTTTAATATCATTGTCAAAGTAGAACAATTAATTGCTAATTCAGACAAACAAATGTCCTATACTATAAATGCATTCCTCCTCAGTATACCCAATTACCCACATACAACATATCTAAAGATGTTTACCCCAAAAACATGTCTTTAGAATTCAGAAGTATTGTTAACTCTTACTTTGTTGTTTCAAGAAAGGTGTTTTAACAATACTGGTGAAAACAATGCCCCCTTTTTGTTTTATATTATAAATGTCACTATATAACTTTCAATAACAGCATATGCATGGTGAATATTTCAATATTAAACAGGTCATGAAAAATAGAGTCTGAACTGTATAGATGTTGGAAACAATTACAAGAATGGTTTTGTAGTTATGTCTTGATATTTTATATCAATGTTCCGGAGACACAACATCAAGGACAAGCTAGAATGCTTTGAATTGCCCTTACCTTTAATTAAGGTTTTATAAAATACTGAACTACATACCTCTTCACCATATATAGCAATTTTAGGGAATTGTTTGTGTAATGAAGCTACAATACATCTCTGTGCTGATCTATCTGCCTCTGTCTGTAGGTCATTTTTACCACCCTGAAAAATAAATGAAGTAAATATATTTCTTTACATTGTAGTTACATCATATTGCACTTGTTAAAGTACATTGTAGAACACTTTTCATTTTTTCTATAGTCAAGAGTGTTTAAATTTAACCCTGTTTGTGAATCGCAGGGCAGATTCCCAGGAATTTAAGGGGGAGTGTTGAGGGAAAATTGATAAAACACAGAAAATATGTGGGTTTAAGGACCAGGGCAGCAAAAGCCCGAATAAAGCTTTCATTATTTTCATCCCTATAGATGCTTATAATGATGTATTAAATTTTCAATGTCAATTTTGGGGGTCACAAAAAAATTAACAAAAAGGATTCGAGCACTTTTATTAAAGAACAACTGAATGCTAATAATATTCCTTTTTGGTTAATATAAAATTTTAAAAAGGGGGGGTCAAAACCAGGTCCGCAAAGGGCCAGGGCTATTGGCTTGTCCGGACCTAAAACTACCATTAGGCATATATAAAAGGAAATATAAAAAAAAAGCAAATAAAAATAGCACACACTTTCTAATACCTATCAGTTTAATTTTCAGTTGTCATTCTATTAAAATGCCATTTTTAGCAGTGTAAGTAAATTAGGATTTGAATCGACTAGGCTGGTCGGAACTAGAAACAGATTGGGAATATTCACTAGCCCAAAAGACGATTTCACTAGATGATTCATTTATTCAATACCAGTTCTTATTTTTGCCTTGAAAATACAGTAAGCCTGGTCGGCTTTTTTTTTCCCCCCCTGGTGAAAAAAAGTTTGGGTAGCCCGAGGAGAAAAATAATAGTAGTCAGGGGCTAATCGGACTACTTGCTAATTTCGAACACTGTTTTTTTAATTCAATTTAATAAATTTTTAATGTAAATCAATGATAAATGATGAGTATTTCCATAAACTGAACAATCAGAAACTTTTTCTCTTAGAAATAATTTTGTCTAGGGTTTTCCATTGAAAATGAAGCAGTGCATGAAATACAAAATGACACATTTAAAATAAAAATGTGAAATAACAAAAAACAGAAATTTTTTTCTACTGACTTATCTTTATTATGGTACAGTAAATGGTGGTTGGATAGTGATTTTTATTTATGATGACAAAGGGAAAAAGATTATTTTAATGAATAATTTGATCATTATTGCCCCAAGACAAATGTGCTGAACACCTTTGGTTTAAAGCTTTGGAAGCCTTACATTTCTAAAAATTCTGTTGGTATCAGAAATTTAATGAAAAATGTCTGAAAATCATAGGTGTTTCGGTGGGGTTGAAATTGGTCACTACCCCCCCCTCAACACCTACTCTACAACCCTCCTACCTTAATCTTCATATCAAAAAAGGTTTGTTATAGTTGTACAGGGTCTCGGGGAGGCTTTTTCGGCCGTCCGGGTATGCATGTTTTTACAGCTGGACGCAATATTTCAGAAGCAAGGATTCCCACGTATGCCCTTTAAATTTTTCCATGGGGGGCCCATAAACATTCGATTGGTTTACATTTGAAACCACAAATACACAAATGCGTCAGCGCGTTTTCAGTCTATTTTGGTAAGGGCGTCCTATGCACATGGACCCGTGAAAAGCGAATTTAGCCCCAAAATTTAACGATAACGCTTTTTCCCAAGTCAAGTCAAGTCAAAAAAACATTTTATTCCTTCATTCCCATGGTACAAAATGACATTAATGGAGTAATAAACATGAATTAAAGTATAAATAGGCTCAAAAAAGCATTAATTAACATACTAGCGAAAAAATATATAGAAAATTTTGCTTCCAGTTTTTAATACGGGAAGCCAAAAATGTTTTTGTATTAATAAATTTTAAATTTCTAAAACATATTTAAAATAATAAAAAAAGCTAGTATTACATTTAAAGGTTTTGGTTTCTTTTTTCTCGAAACCCACACGCAGGACATATGTAATTTTCTTTTTAAAACAATGTGAAATAAAAATTTGGGAACGATTACGCTCAAAAAGTCAAAAACCCGAAAATCAATTTTTTTTTAAACGTAAATAATAACTAAAAAATTTTTAAAAAGTAAACATGCAAAATTTTTTTTTAAGGGGTAAAAATGGAGGGCTAATTTTTAAAACAAAAACAAAAGGTTATAGGTAAAGAGAATGCGAATGGTAGATGGGGGGTGAAAAAAAGGCTTTGTACGTAGGATGTTGTTGCCATTTACTTCCCCTTTATTAAAGTGTTGGTAACGATTCAAGGTTTAGTTATCAAAGTGAAATTTGAAATGATCTCGAAAAAATTTTTGATCGGCGGGGAAAACTGGGGCCATCATCATCACGCAAATTTAGTGACACGGCGCTGTAACAGTCATGTAATTACCAGAATAAACACGAGGTGATAATTTTTAATTTTTGATCAACGTTGATTGGAAATTAGCAAATTTTTACCGAACAAAGGAAAATAAAATTTATCGGACACTTACAACCCCGCAGTTTAAAGACTGTTTTTCAAATAATAAATGAGTGTAATTTTTTGAAATGGATTGTCAAATTTTTTCGGCATTTCTAGGCACAATTTTGCTTTTAGTTCTTCCCTTGGAAAAATTTTCTATAAGAGATTAAAAAATTTAAAAATTTTGGTGCCGAAATCCCCGGGGACAAAAAACCGAAATACCAAAAACCGCTTTTTTTTAAATTTAGAAAAATTAAACCCGAACATCGGCGATTAGAAACCCTAAAATTTCGAAAAAATTCTGGGTTTTCCAACCCCAAAAAATGCGAATGAATTGTTCCTTTATTTTTTTAATCAACTTTAAACCTTTTAAATATCGTTTTTAAATTTTCCCCCTTTTAAAAATTGCTAAAAAAATTGGGCGATCGGGAAAAACTCTTACACACTGTGTAAAACTTAAAAAAATTTTCCCTTTTTCTTTCCGCTAAACCGGGCAAAAACCTTTTACTTTTTTTTTTTAACAAATAAAAACTTTTTTTTTTATAGGGGATTTTTTTAAATAAAAAAATTTTGATTTGGGTAATAAAAAGGTTTTTTTGAAATATGAAAGGGGGGAAAAAAAAAAAGATTTCCATTGTTTTGATGCATTATAATGAAAAAGTTTTTCAATAAAAAATATTAACAACAAAACAATAAATTAACTTATGTTGTTCAGAGTTTTTTTTGAATAACTAAAAAACTTTGGAAGTCTCTTGAAGAACAAAATAGATCAGCAATGCATTGTGAGCCATGAGAATGACTAATCTGAAACATATTAAGCTTGCGACATAACGGCTTTGGACTCCAAAACTTTTTCAAGGGTTTGGGGTCCATGGGAACCTCCAAATTTTAAAGTCCTATGAGAACCCTGGTTGTAATAATTTTGATTGACCCCTTATTACAAATAATAATATAATTTGATTCATATTTATATACAATCAAAAAAAAATTTTTTTCGAATAAACTGCCTTTAATCTGGTAATTTTGAACTTAGGCTTGTTGATTAACACTTTTTTGGGGTAACTTCGAGGTTTACAATATCTTCCCTTTATAACTTGTAAAATGTTATAAATGACATGCTTTTATTTTCCCTTTAAGAGTAATCAAGTTTCCCTAAGTCCATTTGGTACCAAGGAATGAAAATTAGGTGAAAAAAATGTTGGAGTTATGTGAGTTCATATTAAGGTATGTTGGAGTTATGGAGTTTAATATTAAGAATGAGTGCTGAAAAATGAGCAGCAAGTTGCATACCTTTTGTATAATTTTTTTTGGTAGGGAAATGCAGGTAATTTTTAATTAAAAGCATAAACCCAATTATTAAAACATTTTAAATGAAAAATACTTGCCACTTTAAACATGGTTTTAGAGGTTATTGGGGTGTACCAATTATCAACGCACCATACACCTAATTGGGTTGAATATGCCCAGTGATGCAATGTGGGTATGAAGAACCTTTAACGGGGAAAGTCAAAATCCGGGCGGCAAGCGGGCCCCGTGCTTTGGTTGCCGCGGCTATAGACAAACGTGTATATTTAAAAGAAAATCAAATAAAAAAACATTAAAAAAATATCTAGAACCTATCAATTAAATTTTCAGTGTCACTTCTAGTAAGCAGTGCCATTTACAATGTAATTCAATGATAAAAGAAGTGTATTCAGATAAGGGAAAACAATCTCAACTTTTCAGAAAAGATAATAAACGTTGAGTGTTCCGTGTGAAAATGGAAGTGGTGCATGAAATACCGAAAACAGAAAAAAATTACAATATTTTTAACGTCTTCCCGTTCATAGGCTTTGCCAGTTTGCCTTATTTCATATTACGCGGAAAGTACGAGCGGGGCCAAAGGCCCCGCAAGGCTATAGCGCTCTTAGATACCATGTATGACGCGTATCAGTTCAAATGAAATCAAATTTCAAACTAAAATGCAAAATTTCAAAAAAATATATCCTATACCTAATAGCTGTGAAAAAAATCCTTAGTTAACTGGGCGCCGCCATTTTGGAATCCTTTTTGAGCTAAATATAGATATCAGAGCGCTTTTAATGAGCGTCTACATAATTCAGACTATTGCTAGCAGACATACTAAGTAACACTTTCGGTGAAAGAATGATGTACAAATCAGAAATATAAACCTGCATTTCATTGATAAGAATATAGTAACGATTATAAATATAAATAGTTACTTTAACATATCCTTTTTAAAAAATAAGCACATTAAAAATAACGTTAGATTAGAGATTAACAAAAAATGGCGGACGGGATTTTCCAAGCGCCGATGCACGCGCAGAGGTCCCCCTTTACGTTCGGGGATTTTCGGAATATTCCAAGCGCTCCGATAAAAGGTTGAACACCACCAATTTATTTGTTTTGTTTATATGGTACAAAATACCTTCGTTTACATGTACACTAAATATGTTATGCTAAAATCATAATTCATAAGTGTTTTCCGTGCCATAGGTAGCACCTATTTTCATATTATACGGGGAAGTCAAAGACCGGGCCCGCGAAGCGGGTCCGGGCTTTGGCTTGCCCGGCTATAGACTACACGTGTATATTTAAAAGAAAATCACATAAAAAACAATTAAAAAAATATATAAAATTCTATACCTATCAAAGAAATTTTCAGTGTCAGTTCTAGTCGGGCGCCGCCATTTACAATGTAACTCAATGATAAATGGCGGGGTATTCCGATAACGGAACAAATCTCCACTTTTCGGATAAATGATAATCGCCGAGTGTTCCGAATGAAACCGGAAGCGGTACATGTAATACCGAATGACACCTTTAAAACGGAAAGAATGAAAGGAATTTTTAACGACTTCCCCGTCCATAGGCTTTGCCTAATTTCATATTATATTAGTTAAAGTATGCCTTTTTATGAGCATATAAATTTTACTAAGTTAGAATTTGATAAAATAATCAAGGCTAAAATGTAGGACATTTTACAATGAGAGTTAGCTCCCCTGTGTATTTGATCCAGAATGTAGTATCAACACATAAATAAAATTTCACTTGAATTGAAAATCAGTGAGTGAAACTCTTTAAATTAACATGCATTCTTTTACATAATCAGCGTAAATTTATCGAGCTCTTAAATAAATTTCAATTTATTTTTCATCAACAAGTTCATTCATGAAAAAAACTGCAACAAAGATTATTTTATAACGTTAAAAACAGTGGTTAATGATTAAAAACTTGCCTTTTCAACAATTCCTAAATCACCTTTCGACAGAATTTTCTAGCAATATTTGCGGCTCTGTATGATACTGCCACTGACGAAGACACAATCCTCATCAGCAACGGAAGCTGTTTCTGCAACCGCCATGTTTGTTTATGTTTGCAACTGATTATGTCGTAAACACAAGAAAATCACATTCAAGGAATGACAACTTGTCAGTTTTCGATGATTTGAAAAACAATTTGTTTATTACAAGGATGATGAATTTTTTTTCTCTTCGAATAACCGAATGTATTTGAATTCAAGAAATTATATCTGATATGTCGTAAAGATAGCTAGTTGGCACGTATATCGTAGTAAAAGAACTAGTTTTATACGCATTGTATGTTCTACTTTTTATCCCTATCTAGAACAAGCTTTATTTTACATGACTTAACATAAACCGTTAACGATCGTTAAACATATGTAAAATTCAGCATTAATTTATTGCACATTGAACACTAAACTGTAGCTTAAAACGGGATCTATCGATCCAATTGAATACATGTATAAAAAAATCTATATTTTTTCGTCTTTTGATTAATCTATATTAATTATAATTTTGAACAAATGTTTTACTCCTCCTGTATATGAAAATTCTGCGAACTATTCTCCGGGTATCTTTAATTAAGTTTGAAAAAATTATAAAGTTGCAAAAAACTAAAGACAAAGCAGGTACGGTCTTTCAAATAGACCTGTTCAATTTGAAAGACCCTGGACAAAGTTATGTTACTTTCTCAATAAAAAACCCATCTGTCCATGAAGTTTTTATTGATATCCTTTTGAGTGAAAATCAGGACAAAAAAACAATAAAGAAGACAGACGGCTGATAGACAGTCAAGCTGATTTTTTAACATTTAATTTTATAAGGTATAGATTACAAAATTGAATGAACGACCAATCATAGACATATATTTATTTCCACAACAACTTGCTTGTTCTACCTTTTAAACCTTATTTTGTTATAATATGGAAATACCTTTTAACCCTCTCTAGTCAGTGCGTATTTCAAATTTCTTTTATTGAAAACTTGATAGCAAAATTAATCGCCTAAGTTTGCAAGGGAACTGCTTAGATGCATGTATCTTCTTTAAAAAATTACAATAAAAAAAGTGTGCATTGGTTTGTAAACATGTCTTTGAAAGTGTCACATTGGATGTTTCTATAGACAATTCAGTGGCGGATTCAGGCCCGGGCTTCAGGGCTGCAGCCCCCCCCCCCCCCCAGCTTGGCCCTAAGAATATTGTTTACCAGCTGGGCTGGAATATATTTTTGTCAGTTTGAAACTTTATTGGCTGTAGTGTACTCCCTTATCAAAACATTTATTGCTGTTATCCAGTTGTTAATCTCCTGCCTGGGGGCTTGGAAGAGATCTTTATCTATCAATATGCTTGAATGACTTCAATGTTTAAACTGCATAATTGATTGGTTTATTACTTTCCAAAGGTCTAATGAAATTAATAGTCACAGATAGTGGCAAATAGATGAAGAAGAAGAAGAAGAAGAATTTTATTTCAAAATCCACATGTAAACAACAATAGTCTGGTTTAGGCTAATAAGCCCTTGACCTGACACAAATAAAATTACAACATTCTCATCAGTACAATACATTACACAATGGTCCTTACACAATACATTAATTACAATACAATGACGGACATTGAATAATAATATTACTGACTTTTCAACATATTTTACATTCATATATTATCAAAAACTATATTATGTCATTTACATTTTAATTCATTTACATATTTATCTCTTTGATTATTTGGTTTGTTACCTTGTTCTGTATGTGTTCTTTTTACTAAACATGTTTACTTTTTTATCATAATATGCTCATATATAAATATTTATAATGTTTGGTATTACTAACATCCTACAAATGTATACATAAATATATATATATATATATGTAACATAATGCCTTGTATCGAAAATGAAATTACAAAGACCATTATTTTACTACTAAAACTCTAAAGCATGACATGTTTTTATGTCAGATATGAATATGTCAGATTTAGACACATATACAAATATGCATTTTAGTATTTGACGAATTGCCTTGTATCGAAAACGAAAGTACAAGACGAGTATGACGCATACAAGGGAAATAACCATGTCAATTATAACGTAAACGATAATCAAAATTTGTTTTACCTTTAGTTTTTGCTATAATAAAAATTGTTTAACAAGAGGATAATAAAAATACTATGAAAAGAACAAGAAAAAAAAAGAATAACGAAACATGATACAACATATCGAACATTTAAAGGTATCAAATAAAGTTTGAAAATAGGAAAATGTTTTTACATGTAAAGAGGAACATATGAAAGTTCAGAAAGGAACTTAAGAATCATACAGTATATAAATATTTATTACTCTCTAAGATTGCAATGTAGATTCTTTTCTAATCTCGAAAGCTTTATAGACAAACATTGCTAAATTTCTTACAATTTGTACTGAATGAGAGTTAAACAGTTCTGCAATTTTATACATATTTGGGTTTATTATGTAATATTTTGGTTGATATATCGCTTCCTAATATAATTATACAATTTACATTCAAACAATAGGTGAAAATTCGTCCTCTAATTTTTGACATGCGCTACATAATCTGTCGCTTAAGGAAATGTTACCCCATCTGCCAGTTTCAACACTTTAAATGATGAGCTGACAGTCTTTAAAATCTGGTTAAAGCTGTCAAGTATTTACTTATATTAACATTTTTTAGATAAAAGCTGTATTCAAATTTTGCAAATACTCTATAAAATCTTGCTCTTGATGATAAATTTATACGACTTGTCCATTCTTGAATAAAAACATCTTGAAATTCTTTGTTTTAGCTTAGATAAAAACAATGTTTGGTTACCAACACCCTGAGCTAGCCAAACTTCGAAAAATCCTAAATTTCCTAAAAAGGTCTATGACTTGAGATGCCCAGTTTATAACCCTGGTTTTTTTTATCTATATCACTTAACAAATTTGCAAGTAAATCAATTTGATTATATTTTCGTTCTATACTACTTGTAACTTTTAACCAATATTTAATTATTCTAAAAAAATACGCTGTGAATAAAGATCCGTTCTACCAAGTTCACCATAAATAAAATCATTCTGAGTAGAGGTTTTAATTAACATAAAGAATAGATTTACAAAATAGAGTATGAATTCTTTCTATTTGTGGAGCTTTAGTGAAACCCTATACCTCCGAACCGTACAAAAGAATCGGTTTTAACTAATTTATCAAATAATTCTAAAGTGTGTTCAATTGAAATACTAGTATTAGTGTATTTTGTACAGATACTTTCTTAACCTAAAAATCGCTTTCTGTGCTTGACCGAGGGATAAAGTTTTATGAGTCTCACAAAAAAGAACCACCAGTTGTAAAAACAATACCTAGATATGAAAATTTGTTAACTATTTCTAAAGGATATCCATCATAATAAAAGTTAACATTGTACAACATATTTTACTTTCTTTGTTTTTCCATTTTCTTTGCCAATCATTTGTAAATTAAAATGATGGCGAAGTTTATGAAGACAATATTAAAGGAATTGCATTTTGATAGCTAGTTTTACTAAGATTTTTTTCAAGATGAAGTGATTGGTCATTTGCTTTATATAACATTACATCAATCGTAACAACCCGGCAATCTCCGTCCTTGAAGTCGCCCGAGGTGTTCCGATTGACATTACATCTTGCTTTCTTACGTTAGATCGTGCTTTCTAACTTGTACATCTTGCATTCTGACTTTTACATCTTGCAAATCGTTTTGAATATATGTTTACCTTAATTATTTCCTCCATAGTGGAATGGAAATTTTAAAACAAAGGGACGTAATTTGGTAAACTGAATCCGAACCGCAATACGGACTTTACCGAGAATAGAACTGTAGCGCCATCTGTTAGCATAATTTGGGTGTCACATATTATTACACCAGATGTCGCGTCGTATTATGCTTGCTACATTCGGCTTTCGGCTATGCGTCATTCTACCTTATGACATTCGTCATTCAAGCTCGTAGACCCAAATAGTTAAGTTATTGAATTAATATACCAGATCAACAAATGAATAATAATTGATCGTTAAATAACGATATCAACATACAATTAAGTAAGACGCACACAGCAGAAAGCATAATGTACATGTAAGAAAGCAACATGTAAAGTCAGAATGCAAGATGCACAAGTCAGAATGCATGATGTACAAGTCAGAATGCAAGATGTACAAGTCTGGTTGCAAGATGTACAAGTTAGAAAGCACGATATGTAACGTATGAAAGCAAGATGTGATTTTGGCGTTAATATTCTTCCATACACTAACCTCTACAAAATATAGTTTGATGTAAAACCATCCAAAAGGTACCATAAACAGCGCTAGAAAGTCAAGGAAATAACACAATTTTCAACCTCATATTTCAAAATTTTCTCAGTCTATTTAAATACGAATGTCGTTTTGTTTCAATTTTAGTATTTTATATAAATGTCTGCAATCGTATTCATGAACATAGAGTATGAACATCCATGCATCTATTGATGTTTAAGATTGTTTTAAAATTCAAAATTCAAGCTGAAAAGTGTTAAATTCCATTGTATTTGGTCTATCAATATTTCTCATTTAGCGTACATACAATATTTTACTTGGGGCCACAAAGTGTTAAGTTGTTAAAGTGTTGAGACTCCATTTTTTGTAGTTCCGTCCATTGTTTTCTCATTTAGTGTACACAATATTTTACTTGGAGACAATATACACATGTTCAATTGTTGAGTTCTTCTGAAGCCAGTCATCGATAGAGGACCATCAAGTGTTAAGATGTATTAGTATTCTTTATTAAAATTTTAATACTTTGTCTTTAAGTTTTTGTTCTTTTTTCTCCTAATGGCCGCCAGAGCTATGATTAGAAAAATCTTGTCCGGCTTTCACAGGTTAAACTGCTGGTCGGATTTCAATGAAACTTCACAGAAAAGATCATTACCATCCCTAGTTGTGCATATCGCCGGCTCCGCTGCACAAAATTCTAACATCCTGTTTTAGTAAAATTTGTTAGACTATTTCTCCCTCACTTCTAATGGAATAAATGAAATTTTATGAATGATATTATTAAAGGCGGTCGGGCGTATATTACCGGCATTTTGGCATATATTGCAGATTTTATGTCAAAGCTTCCTTCTCAGTGACAGCTTTTGTTTGAATTTTTTAATCATCTGGTCTGTTTTTTGTTCATGTCTAGCTCGCCTGAACACAATTCTTTGGTGACATAATATTAGCGGGCGTTATACAGATCATAGATGGAAACAAAATAATAAGTCTATATTATTGTTAACCAAATGGTGGTTATTTATATGTGGAAAGGAAAGTTTGTCTCTTGAATACTGTAACATGGCCATATTGTCCACATTGAAAAACTGTATATAATTCCACCAAGCTTTATATCCATTTGGATCGTGAAGAGAAAGTATTAGGGAGATGATGATTATGCAAAGCATCAGTTCCAGGGAATTTTCTGAAAATACATCTAAAGCTCCAATTTCTGACAAGTTCACTGAAGATAATTCTTCAAAACAACTTAACAAGCTTAACCTTAACACTCTTCTTGGGTACCATACTTCTCAAGATAATGATATAACAAAACCGGACGCCCAGCAATACAGTGATTAATTAATATGTTTTCTTATATCGTGGTTATTGCATGTCTCAATCATCAGTTGTAAATCATACTGTAATAATTACATTAAAGTAAAATCTAAGACATTCTATGTGGAAGGCATTGCATGGATTCAAATTTAGGATACCACAGTCCGTCAAAAAACTTTGCATAAGTCATGCCCAAGTAACTAAAAAATATTTCAATGATTTTATTATGCATCGACTTCCCAATAATTATAACACAATCACTGACATCTTAGTAATAATGCTCCTGTCAAAGAAGTTTATAAACATCTGTCATATAGTAGCATTTTTCCTGTGACTAATCTAAAGCTTCGTAGAATTAATTGAACCCTTTTAAAGTGTTAATTGCACAAAACATTAATATCTTTGTTCATCTACAAAACAATGTTTTATTTTTTTATAGAGTGTGCACTCTTCTTACTAATCTCCCAGTGCGACTATCAGACTACACAACCAATCTTCCAATAAGTCTATCAGACTAGTCTACGCAACTTAAAATATCTAAGACGACTTAGATAATTTTGTCTGAAAATCAACGAATGCATAGAGCATGAAAATCCATTTTCAAAGTCTTTGTGATATATTTATTTATTACCCTTCCAGATTTTTTCCGCCTTTTTGATTGGATATTGATCACCCGAAAGAAATTGATATAACCGAGCCAGACGGGTAATATACACACTAAATTTCCCCGCTGGGTACCCAACGTTGTAAACAACATGCGCTGAGGTGATGCGCGTACGGTTCGATTTTGCGCGCGGTGTTAATTTAGATTTAAAAGCACTTTTTAACTGTCAAATGACAAATATTTACCAAAGTAGAGTAATGATACATATTACCATCAGTATCTAAAACAAATATGACCTTGTGAAAGCTTGATATTAATTACAAAAAAGTGCGTTCAATAGACTACTCCTTTTCTCTTGTTTACATTCGTTAGGTACGGGGAAAAATACGTCATGTATTTATGTGACGTCATGTTGTGACGAAGAGGTACCCTAAAGGGAATATTATTTCGACGTTTCATTTGAAACAGCAATGATTTTTTAAAATATCGTCTAAACTCGGCAGGGGAAGGGTAATAAAATTATTATTTTGGTTTTGGAGTGATATATGTGGATATATTACCTGCAAAGATAAAATATCACCCTCGCCTAACGGCTCGGGTGATATAAAATCTTAACAGGTAATATATCCACATATATCACTCCAAAACCAAAATAACATATAATATGTTTTAAGCAACCATGCCCTAGAATATTTGTAAAAAAAATTTCTTTCCTGTATTATTTAAAAAAAAAACCCGCAAAGTTATAAATGACCAATGTATATTGAATGTACTAACAGCGACGTTAAATGGCCTCCGTCCAAATACGTTGATACAAAACTCGTACATATTGCCAATTACGTCACTTATGGCGGCTGTTTTATCTTATATAAATGTTATATGAAAATAAATGTGCATCAGTTCGATTTGCGGATAATTTATGTATCCTCATCGAATGAGAAGTATATATTATAAATGTAACGTCTTCCATGTTTTTATCGATCAAAGCCTTTATAAATATCTCAATACTATTTCAAAAGGTTCCCCATTGTAACATATAAAACATGTTGAAGAAGGATGTAAAAAGCTAATATTTACTTTCAGGCATTTAATCGAGTAATTGGCGTTAAGCAGTTGACAGTAAGAAATTGGCATTTAACAGGTAACAATTCGCCTTAAGCAGCTAACAGTAGGCATTAAGCAGTTGTCAGTAAACAGTATCCTACCAACGTGCATAAGTACGTAGTTTTCAATCATTATTTACAGCATTTTTCAATTTATCCATGACTCCATAAATTGTATTCTAAAATTACACAACAGTTGTTATTGTTCAATAACATATATAAATTCTAATCATTATATATTGACTTTTAGGTATTTTAATTAGAATATTTTAGTACAAAGATTACAAACTTTCACTTTCATCATTAAGTATTTTTTAAAAGTTCACTGAAAACCTTGTATAATTTTATATATATACGAGTATATAACTGATTATAAATGCAATTGACATTTAAAGGATATCTACCAAATTCCCTAAAATAGCATTATTGCATGCTTTTTGTGAACCCCTAATACATGTTTTAGGATTGTATTTTTTCACATGGCATATCATTTAAGCAATCCAATAGACAAAATCCTCTTTATTCACTCAGATTTCACTATTTAACTGAAATTTTTGCCCTAATTTAAAACAGATGCCGTGACAGATATTGTTGCAACACAGATGCCGTGACAGAGATTGGTGCCGTAAAGTAGTCTACATATCCGGTTTGTCACTTCCGGAGATTTTTGACACGCAGAAATTGTTTACATTTTGACATTTCTTGTGTTTCTACTTATAATTTGAAATGGACTTACGAATATACATGTGCTGAAGATGTGGTCCATATTTTCTCGTGACCCAGCAAAAGATTTTGCATATGTTATCGGTGAGAAAGTCGCTGGCTTAGAGGATAAGTCAGTTTGGTCTCTTCACCAAGGAAAGAAAAAGGTAAATAATTGTGATTATATGGATACAGGTGCCATTTATATGATAAAATAAAAAAAGTACAATTTTGTAATATGAAAAAGGCAAAGCCTCAAAGCGAGCTCGATTTAGATCTACTTTTACTGTGAAATAGTATAAATAATTGTTCATTTTTATTTTACATTTACCATTTTAAAATTGTCATTCGGTATTTTATACACTGCTTCCGTTTATTCTGGTTCCCTGACCTATTATGGTTCCCATAATATGAAATTAGGCAAGGCCTATGAACTGGGAAGTCGTTAAAAATTCCTTTCATTCTTTCCGTTTTAAAGGTGTCATTCGGTATTACATGCACAGCTTCCGTTTTCACTCGGAACACTCGACGATTATCATTTATCCGAAAAGTTGAGATTTGTTCCGTTATCGGAATACCCTGCCTATTATCATCGAGTTACATTGTAAATGGCGGCGACTGACTAGAATTGACACTGAAAATTTCATTGATAGGTATAGAATTCTATGTATTTTTTAATTGTTTTTTATTTGATTTTCTTTTAAATATACACGTGTAGTCTATAGCCGGGCAAGCCAAAGCCCGGGCCCGCAAGTTCTTTGACTTCCCCGTATAAGTGCGCAGGACACCCGTCTACACTTCTGTTTTCAATCAGAATACCTCGGTTTTTATCGTTATCTTGTAATTCGAAAAGTTGCGATGTGTCAAACGAAATCTTTCAAAACCATTACTATCAAGCAGGTACTCGCATTACCGTAAAGCTTGCTTTGCGAGCAGGTCGGGCCAGCTTTCGAGCTCGCTATAAAAGTAGATAAAACCTATGAACTAGGAAGTCTAATAAAAAAAAAAAATGTTCATTCTCTGTTTTTAATGTAATATAAATGTTTCGTATTACTTGTCTTGGTTGTTCTTTCATTGCTTTTAATCTGAACACCTCAAAGATAATTGCGTTTAGAATACATCCACTGACAGTCTCTATATGAACTACATAAATAACAGAGGTATATCGAGTGAAAAGTATGAGTTGTTTCCCTTATCTTTGGGTAAAATCCATATCTCTAATGCTAAAACAATGCAAATTTAGCCATTTTAAAACCGCTAGTTTGGGGCGATTTAATGTCTGATTTAAAATTTATTAGACAAATGAAAAGTTTGTGATCTAACCTTCGTTTCAGTATATTTCAACACATTGTTTGGTACTAAATGTATTTAAATTTACAGTTAAACCTACCGCATGTCAGACCATTTTACATACGTTTTATACAGTGAGATATGCAACTTGTTATGTTTGATCAAAATTCTACTGATAAGAATAGCCTGTCGTCTGCTAGTTTGGAAACTGTCCATTGGTGTATTGTGACAAATGATTCTGAAACTTTTACTGATCAGTCTTTGCACCGCGTAAGTCTATATGGAGAAATTTTGTGTTTTGTACACAATAAGTGTCATTTTCTGTTTGACACTTTGCAAGTGTACAATTTTTAATAAATACTTAACAGTTAATTGATGACCCATTAAAAGTTAATTGTTGACTCATTTCAATCATTTATTATTTTTCTATTGAAAAAGTAAAAGTGCCACTTCAGACTTCAGAAATCCCTTGCCTATTTTTGTGTGCTCAGGAAGCAGGACTCTGTTAGTGTCAACCACTGTTTTTTTTCTTTAAAGTGTTTGAAATATTAGGTAATACATTAAATGCTAGAAGAGTCAGCCTTTTTTTCGCAAATTACTTCGGCTCCTTTAAATTATAATATTGTATTAGTTCCATAACAACTTGTTTTCTCAAAGTTTATATGATAACAGCGTTCTCGGGGACGCTTATTTCGGCGTCCCGGTACGCATGTTCATTACAGCTGGACGCAAATATTTCAGAGCAAGGATTCCGCGTATGCTTAATTTTGCCTGGGGACGCATAAACATTACCGATTAAACAACAACCACAAATACACAAATACGTTAGCGGGTGTCAGTCTATAGGTAGGCGGTCCTATGCACATCGACCAGTGAAGCGATTACCCAATCAACGATAACGCTTTTGATCATTATCAAGCAAATAGAAATCAGTCTAATGTATACACACGCTGTACATGTAATTACCAGATATAACACAAGGTGATAATTTTTTATCTTTGATCAACAGTTGATTGGAAATTAGCAAATTTTACTGACAAAAGGATTAAATATTGACTGTTTAAGCCGCAAGTTTAAAGACTGATTTTCTCAAATAACAAATGAGTGTAATTTTGAATTATTGTCGAATATTTTCGGCATTTTCTAGGCAAAATTTTGCTTTAGTTTCATTCTTGCAAAAACGTTCTATAAGAGTATTAAGAATTTAAGATATTGTGCCGAAATGCCAGGACAACAAACCAAAATACACATACGCTTTTCTTTGATATTTAATAGATTCTATCCGAAAATTGATCCCGAACATCGGCGATTTCACATTCGCCAGAAACCCTAAAATTTCGCAAAGGGCACAAAAATTCTCAGTTTCCAAGCCAAACATGTGAATGAATTGTTCCTTTGTTATTTAATCAACATTAAATCTTTAAATATCGATCTTCAATTTGCCCCCTTTTGAAGATATTTGCTAAAATAATTGTCGATCGGATGAATCTCTTACACACTGTGTGAAGCTGTACACGATTTTCCTATTCATTCTGCTAAACGCTGCCTATATACAAATATTTTACAAAAATAAACTTTTGGTCTTTAGAGTGGACTTATCTAACCAGAATAAATTTGATTTGGTATAAAAGTGAAAAAAAAACCCAAAAAAACGATTTCCACGTGTTGATGCATTATAATTTTATTGTTTCATAATATATAAATAACACATGGGTTTGTGGGTAACAGTAAAAATATCATCCCGAGGAAAATACTACGCCTCGGGTAACAGTATTTTAAAAAGGGATGATACTTTTACTGTTACTCACAAACCCATGTGTTATTTATTTTATTACCGGATTTTACCCCGAACAAAAATACTGTGATGATCTGAAATTGTCAACTAAATCTAACTGTAACAAAAATAAACCAAGAGTAACAATAACTAAACTGTCCTTACCTTTTAAGTTTTAAGTGTACTTTAGGCCTACTTGAGAAGTTTTCTTTTTCTTTTATTCTTTAAGCAAGTGATGATATCTACAAATCATAAACATAATTATTACAATAAGCTAGGTTTTATTTAGAAAACAAAACACTATCTGTCAGACAGGTCACAAAAAGTTAGTGTGTCGGGTCTTTTATCTAAATCTGCTGACGTTGTCTCAGGAGTACCCCAGGGCTCAGTCCTAGGACCCTTACTTTTCTTAATATATATAAATGACATACATCTGCATATAAAAAGATCTAATGCTAATATTTTTGCAGATGACACTTCGTTAACTTCTATAGGAAATACTGTACAAGAAGTCAATGAAAATCTTCAAACAGATATTGATAATGTTAACACATGGTGCATGCAAAACTCAATGATACTAAATGCACTTAAAACAAAAGCTATGACTCTGTCAATTAGGAATACAAAATTAGAAAATAATGCTACACCTACACTGTATCTTCATAACAAAGAAATAGAATTTACAGACACAGAAAAAGTACTAGGTGTCTATGTTGACAACAATCTCAAATGGAAAACTCAAATTCAAAAAACTATTGGAAAATGCAATTCACAGCTCTACCTGCTTCTTAGAATTAAACAATATCTTGATCTTCATTCTATTAAAGTCTTTTTCAATGCATATATTCTGCCTCATTTAGACTACTGTTGCACTATATGGGGAAACTGTAGTAGTGAATTACTTTCACAAATTATCAAATTTCAAAAAAGAGCTGCTAGAATAATCTTGGATAAAAGTTTTGATTCCCCATCAAATGAACTATTTAAAGAGCTTAATTGGATGTCCTTTGATCAAAGAATTATGTACAAAAAAGCTATTCTCATGTATAAATCTATTAATGAGCCATCTTTTCCTAATTATATGAAAAATAAATTCCAAATGATAAATGACAAACACAACTTCAACTTAAGATCTGTTCAAAATGAGAAACTAGTCATACCGAAACCAACAACTGAGTACTTTAGGAAATCATTTGATTATTCTGGTCCTAAAATATGGAATGACATCCCAATTTATATTCGAAATTCAGATACTTTGAAGAAATTTCAAGCCACATATATTTAGTGGCAATTTTCTAATTTAATGAGTGTACATTTTGTTGATATGATAATGCCACACAAGAATAGAATGTACAGTAGAATCCCTACTAAAGACCATCTCGGATTTAAGACCACCCCGCTTTTAAGACCAGTTTTTAAAAGAACGGAATTTTCTGTTCTTTATGTCAATGGTTACATGATCCAGAATTAAGACCACCTCACTTATCCACATTTAAGACCACCAAATTCAGTCCCAATTCCTTATTTTGTTCTTTATTTGACCTCACTATTGAGACCACTGATATTAAAATCAACACCTTCCTAGATCTTAAATGTGTTGTTATGTTGTTATTATCTGCTTGATTGCTCTTAGGCATGACACTTGATTACACAAGGTGTCAAAGCTGTTATTTATGGGATGTTTAATGAAAAAAGGTGAGAATGTTAATTTCATAGTGGTTTAATGTTGCTTTATGCAAATTTGTTTTGTGAAGAAATAAAGTCTGATATGATATGTGAATTATGTACCTCATACAATAATTATTATTGAAATCAGAACAAAGAAAATTTGATATTAAACTTCTTCAGAAATATGTTTTCTTCCCATCAGATGCAACATTATAAAATATATACTTTTATATTGTATTTGCAGGTTATGATACATATTGTTTGTTCATACAAAATGACTAAAATAGGCCATATCATATCGTGTGTAAGCAATGATAAGAATATCCACAATTAAGACCACCCCACAATTAAGACCACTTTGGTCCAGTCCCGATGGTGGTCTTAATTGAGGGTTTTTACTGTATAATGTTTTGTTTTAACAATATTGTTTTAATCTTACTTGTAAAAAAATGTATTTTTCATGCCCAGGTTATGAAAATGTGGTTTCTTGATGTTTGTTTTTTTGTTTTTTTTTTTTGTTTTTTTTTGTTTGATTTTTTTTTTTTTTTTTTTCTATTTGTATATATATGTTATTTAAAATGTGTAATGTATATATTGTTATGTATATGCTATATATATGCTGAGGCCCGCATGGAAGATCGGGAAACCAAATGTGTTAGCCTCATTAAATAAAGTCGTTACTTACTTACTTACTTACTAACCCATTTACACGGTTATGATCTGTGAAATCTGATCCTTCTGTTTCCAGAATATTCCTGGCATGGTTTTTGACAAAATAACGATGATATCCTATGTCTGTCCACCATATCTGTAACGTTTCACTGATTAAAATTGTTAAATAATCCTTTGATGCACGCTTAAATCGTCTGCATGTTCCAGTTTGACACATAATTATTTACATTGCAATTATTTCCGTTGATAATGGATGTTTACCTTTTGACTATTTAACAAAAGATATTTTTTACGCGAAAAGCACTCCAGGGTGCAAACAAGTGAAACAACTAAACTTAATGGGTGTCATAGTTACTCCAGAAAAGAAATTGGTGTCCTATCGGGGTTTAATGTCGAAAAAAAGAATGAATCGAGAGAAAAATGGCGGCCATTTTATTTCATTTTATTTAGAAAATAGACCACGTGACCAGATTTTATACTGTTAAAAATACTGTTACTTATGTAAAAGTAAAAAATTCTTAGTCACTTGGTACACTTGCATTAACAGTAAAAAATAACTCCCAGAGTCCTATGGGAAATTTAATAGCATTACAAAAAAAGTGAGGGGTAATAATAAATATTAACAACAAAACAATAATTATACCATGTAGTTAAGAGTTTGTTTTGAATAACTATCAACTTTGAAAGTCTCTTGAAGATTCAAAATATCAGTAATGCTATTGTGAGCATTAAAGGACTAATCTGTAAACATTAATTGCGACGCATTTTTGGACTCCAACTTTTTCAGGCTTGGGAGTCCATGGACTCCATGTTTTAAAGTCCTAGTGAGAACCCTGTGATAAGTAAACTGAGTTGATTAAAAAGAATTTTAGGATTAACTAAGGTTAAAATAAACACTTCTGCTTTATTATCCATTATCATTTTCAACTATGAATGAAGTTAAAAGATTAATTGCTAGCCTCACTGAAAACCATATCGAAGAGTAGAGGCATTACAGGTACATACATGTAACATATAATCAGCTAGGGAGCATCAGTGTCAACTGTATTGTTGTCATTTAGATCAATGAAGAGTATGATAACTCTTGTTTTTGTAATTTGTACAATATAATCTGATTGACACATGCTGATATAAATTATTTCACTCTTAATTTTTCAGACAGGTGGTGACAATGTGTCTGTGTTTGTATTTGACGTCAAATCAAGCAGTGAATCACAGGTAATGTTTCATTCTGACCGAATGTTGTTTTTTCATAGAAGATTGCAAGTCAGAAGTATTGTCTTTTATTGACTTGTTTGTAATTTATTTGTTTATAACTTGTATATTTCATAGAATTGCTGCTACATTTGCAAGCATTTTCAAAGAGACAACCAACCTCCAAGTGTAGTTTATCTGTCTAAATAGGCACCAAACAGAGGTCTTCAACTTCAACCTCATGAATTTGATTAAGTCTGACATAAAAATGTATGTTATACATGTAGCAAGTGACTACAAGAAGTTACATAATATGCAGGGTGTCATTGTAATGTGTGCACAGCTAACCTAAATAAAGAGAATGAAGTATTGGGCCTAAAATAAAATATTATTTGTTTCTTCTGCCAGTACACAAAAATCACACCTACCCAAAAAAAATATTGTCAAACAAAATATTTTTTTTACTAAAAATTGAAGCAGAGTCAGTGAGAATTCCCTCTATATATCTGTCTCATTTTTTTATTTGTAAATACATGTATGTAAATTGGGATATATTGAATGAAACTTTGAAATGTTGGTTCTAGACTAAGCATTTCCAATTTGTTTTGAATTCTATTTAATTTTAGAAAGAAAAAAATTTGGATTGAAAAGAAAAGATTAACTACCTACATGTACCTACCCTTCCTAAACTGGGAACCCTCCTAGTTCAGGAAGGGTAGGTACATGTAGGTAATTTAAGGCTGGTCTTGACTCATTGTCTCCTTTATGCAATTTTTGGGCAACTTTTTGTATATATGCTATGTCTGTGTTTGATTGTTAGGGCCACATCTAACTTCGGGATATTAAGATGAAATCTACTGGAGCCATAAGATGACACCTTAGTGATTATGTTAAAGTACACTTTGGTTGTTGAAAGGTTATTTTTATTATAAGAAAGTCATTTATCCAACAAAATGAATTTTATTGCTATTAGTAAGAAATATATATTTGGGTTACAACTTCCATCTCTATGTTTTTATCAATATCTAAAATACTTTTGGAAAATGTGCACATGGTAGTCTAGATCAATCTAATGAAAAAAACATGCCCTTGAGAACATCATTTGTAAACACAGTACAAGGCTGATAACTTTTGGCGTGGATTTTGAATGTAATATGTCCCTAAGTAAACTTTAAAATTCTTTGGTCAATATTCAACTTTCAAGACTCACTTCTTGGTACTTTAAGTGAAATCATCCCTTCATTATCCAGTCCCTAGTTTTAAAATTTAAGAATTGAGAAAAGTCTATCACTCTTGTTTGTCAAGTCAGACGATTTCCCTCTCAATTAGGTTAAAGTGAATTTTATATTTGAAATCAAATAACATACAATATATACATGTATATATAAAATTGGAGTTTTTTTTTATATATTTCAGACAGCTCTAGCAAGATCTTCATTCAAAAGAATTAAGACATTGAGACACCCAAACATTCTCACTTTCTTAGATGGAATTGAGGTGAGACATATTGTTATATCATTATTTAAAATATTATCAAGTGAATTGGTATAATCATAGAAAAAACCTGTCTATTAAATTTACCAAGATCATGTCTGAAAAGTTTGGTACAATCACTGTGTGCTATCATGGTAAAAGAACTTTTTTGGTATCTAAGATTAAGCACAAAAAGATAATAGACACAACTTTTATTTTCTGAAAGGTCTTGTGAGTTTTCATTAGTGTTTTCAAATTTTAAAAGTGTACTTGTTGAAAGCATAATTATGCTGGAACCTTACTGACAGTGACAGTAGATGTCATTTATTTGTCTTGTTGTTTTTTGTCCTAAGATGTTCATTTAAAAAGTAAGATATTAATTGTTTGAATATGTTTATTTTATCAGACAGATAAAGTGATTTATATAGCAACTGAGCCTGTCACTCCACTGTCTACATACATAGAGAACAATGATGCTGAACAGAGGAAAAATCAACTTTCTATATCATGGGGGCTTCATAAAGTTACTGTATGTATTATCTGAATTTATCTCTATGCTATCTCTCTACTGAATTTGTTTATGATCTAGCTGTAAAATATGGATGAGGAGTCTCTGTGGCTAATTGGTAAAAGTTGCTGACTACAAATCATGTGTCCTTTACCATTTTATGTTTGAATCTTACCAGTGACATTGGATTATTTATTGTTAGGTAGCTTACCTCTGTCCTTGGGTTTTGGAAGGGGGTACTGAGGTTCTCTCCTGTGTCTTATATAATGAATGGAGAGGTACCTGATGGTTTTCCTCTGTTGGTTAAGCTGTCAATTCACAATATGACCTTTACATATCCTTTAGAATGTATTGGTCACGCTCAGGTGAAAAAGAGTGGGCAGTCTACATGTATTTATAATTTAGGCAGTTTTATATTTTATCCTGAACATTTGTAACTATTAATTATTAGATAATGTTCATTAAAATAGTTAATCTTTTGAACTATATAACTTATTCAACTTAACAACGAAATAATGAGCATAATATCACGTTAAGTAAAACAAATGCATATATTAACACATCATATATATGTCTTGTTTTCAGAAAGGATTGTCTTTTTTGGTGAATGACTGTAACTTGATACACAACAATGTGTGTATGTCATCAATATTTGTGGATCAAGCTGGTGAATGGAAGCTTGCAGGTGTTGACTATATGTATCCAGCTACAGGTACCGAGAGTGTCCCACCTGTCAAAATACTACCTTTCCTTGAGAGATATGACCCTCCGGAAAAGTCAGATCTAAAGAGGGGAATTAAAGGAGAAAAATGGTAAAGTGACAATGTTGCTTAGAAACAAAAAGAATGCTTAATTGATTTGTTAAATTCTAAGTAAAGAAATGAAAGTATAGTAACTTTAGCAACACAGAACACAAATGTCCAGCTTAATCGGTTAAATATAATGGTTAAGTACATAATTTATTAATATTCAGTATTCTTAACTTATAGTGCTAAAGCTTTAAATAGGATACTGATAAGATATTGTAGTTGCATAAATGATGTAGGATATTACATTGTCATATTTTAATATCTTAAGGTCATCAGATATGTGGGGTCTAGGTTGTTTGATATGGGAAGTCTTCAATGGACCTTTACCAAGAACATCTGCACTGAAAGCTTTTGGAAAGGTAAATACAATAATTTTGTGCTATATTTAATTGTAGGTTTTTTTTTACTGAATCTGCTGTTATGTTGCTTAAGTTGAAAAATGATATTGGTCTTTTAATCAACATTACTTAACATTTTGTGTGACCTTCAACAATTTTAATAACTTAGCTGTATGCTTTAACTTGATCACTACATTTACACAGCTTATGACAAATTGGCATATCTTGATGCTTAAATATTCTGTATGTTCTTCATGTACTGAAATATTTCAATGATTTTATTAGATTCCCAAGAATCTGGTGCCAAATTACTGTGAACTAGTTAGTGCTAATCCATCTTCTCGCCCGAATCCTGCCAAGTTTATCTCTGATTGTTGTAGAAAAGGAGGATTCATGAACAACCCATTTGTGAAAACCATGCTCTTTCTTGAAGAAATCCAGGTAAGCTGTGCATTAATGTATCTAGAAAGATTCTTTGTCTGCAGGAAGTTATTTCATGTTTTATGGCATGTTACTTGTATCTCTGTTGGCCTAGAATTTGTTAATTAACAAATTCTTGTAATCTGAAAAGAAAATTTGTTGTGTGTATTATTTTAGTCTGGTGTTTTGGAATTTGGTGTGTTTTTTAAGAAAATGTTTAAAGGAATTCTAGAGATTATCCAAATTTGTTAATTTCAGATTTTTTAAAATTGAATGTCATACATGTAGCTTAAAAATCATGTCATTACCATACTGAAGTATATTAATTATAAATATTTCTGTAAAATAAAAAATGTCTATGTATAAGCATACAACATGATTCAAATGATCTGACATAATATGATAATATATCAAGCATTTTAATTATTTTCTTGAATTTATAGGGTCATTTTCATGTTTACTTTGAAATATTTACAGCAATGATATAGTTTGTAGAAAAAAAGTTCCATTGATAAATGATAATTATAATTGTTAATTTCCAGATAAAAGAACCATCAGAAAAATCAAGCTTTTTTGCAAAGCTTACAGAAGCTATAGATTCATTCCCTACCCAGTTGAGTAGACACAAAGTTTTGCCTCAGTTATTACATGCCTATGAATTTGGTAACTGTGGATCTATGGTTCTAGCACCACTGTTTAAGGTAAACTATATATTCTATTTAAACTTCTAATTTAAAAACGTCAACAACAAAAACAATTTAAATAACATGTAGTAGAATGCTACAGATGTTGAATTAAGGATATGATTTACTGCAGAAAATATAGTGAAAAAGATCTTATGATATCCTCCTTATTATTGCTGTTTTAATCACTGTACAAGTGTATTTTTGTGCCCCCACGTTAGTGGCGGGCATTTAGATTTACCCTTGTCCGTCCGTCCTTCCGTCCGTCCGTCCGTCCTTCCGTCCGTCCGTCCGTCCGTCCGTTCACTTTTGTGTCGCACGTAACTCAAAAAGTATTTGACCTAGAGTCATGAAACTTTACAGGAATGTTGATCAGCATGTGTAGTTGTGCACCTGGGTATTTTCGTGTGGATATTTTTAGTATTTTCAGAGTTATTGCCCTTGACTTAGTAAAATTTTGCAATTTTCAACTTGTGTCTCATGTAACTCAAAAAGTGTTTGACCTAGAGTCATGAAACTTTACAGGAATGTTGATCAGCATGTGTAGTTGTGCACCTGGGTATTTTCGTGTGGATATTTTTAGTATTTTTAGAGTTATTGCCCTTGACTTAGTAAAATTTTGCAATTTTCAACTTGTGTCGCATGTAACTCAAAAAGTATTTGACCTAGAGTCATGAAACTTTACAGGAATGTTGATCAGCATGTGTAGTTGTGCACCTGGGTATTTTCGTGTGGATATTTTTAGTATTTTCAGAGTTATTGCCCTTGACTTAGTAAAATTTTGCAATTTTCAACTTGTGTCGCATGTAACTCAAAAAGTATTTGACCTAGAGTCATGAAACTTTACAGGAATGTTGATCAGCATGTGTAGTTGTGCACCTGGGTATTTTCGTGTGGATATTTTTAGTATTTTTAGAGTTATTGCCCTTGACTTAGTAAAATTTTGCAATTTTCAACTTGTGTCGCATGTAACTCAAAAAGTATTTGACCTAGAGTCATGAAACTTTACAGGAATGTTGATCAGCATGTGTAGTTGTGCACCTGGGTATTTTCGTGTGGATATTTTTAGTATTTTCAGAGTTATTGCCCTTGACTTAGTAAAATTTTGCAATTTTCAACTTGTGTCGCATGTAACTCAAAAAGTATTTGACCTAGAGTCATGAAACTTTACAGGAATGTTGATCAGCATGTGTTGTTGTGCACCTGGGTATTTTCGTGTGGATATTTATAGTATTTTCAGAGTTATTGCCCTTGACTTAGTAAAATTTTGCAATTTTCAACTTGTGTCGCACGTAACTCAAAAAGTATTTGACTTAGAGTCATGTAACTTTACAGGAATATTGATCAGCATGTGCAGTTGTGTACCAGGTATTTTCGTCTGGATGTATTTAGTATTTTTAGAGTTATTGCCCTTCACTTAGAAATTTTTTGCAATTTTCAACTTGTGTCTCAAGTTACTGAAAAAGGATTTGACATAGTCATTAAACCTTATGGGCAGGTTGCTCAGCATATTTAGATTTGCACCTGGGGTTTCGCTTGTGGATTTATCCAGTATTTGTAGAGTTATTTCCAAAGATTGACAGAACAGTGGCGCGGTGGGGGCACCCGTGTCCTATGGACACATTTCTAGTTATTTATAATCTTGAAGTTTTCGTCAAAATTGCAAAGCCTACATTTTTTGAAACTTTGCATTTTTAGTGGCAAAATGTGAATGAACTTTGGACCAGTGGCCAATATTTAACAACCTTGTCATGAGGATAACCAATTTTTGTATAAACTAATTTTGTGGAAATAAAAAACATACCTCAATGCTTGATATTTGACAAGAAGCATTATCTGGAGATCCTCAGCAAAGTGTGTACATATAATGCTTCTGATAGAAACTGAACACACCAGGGGTCTTTTTTTTCCCCCTGAATAAAATCGGCTATTTTCCCCTATTTTGCCCATGTTATAACGAGACCAAAACCATGTGTTAACATAGTCACGCGCTCTTGTTATATCCCGGTTTCACCTATGCGCAATACATACAGGGCCCAGTCAAACAAAAAATTGACGATTTGGCCTGTTTGCCAAAGAGTCATGCGCTCTTGTTATATTAAAATTATTGATTCGAGAACCCCAATCGCATAACGACATGCAGCATTCAAGTAACTATGCCGGAAATACGGCGTATAGACATCGCTGCTAATCTTGGTTGTCACCCTTTCTAAGAAACGGACAGTTGTCAATGTAAACAAATACAGTACCTGTCATTCAGTTTAACACTCCGATTAACTTACAAAACTAGATAACACAAAATGAATATGAGAAAATGTTGTTTTATTTATGTTAATGTTGATAAATGCTCTTTATATTTCTTTGAGAGAATAATGCTTAGTGCCTGATTTTTTAGCTCGACTATTCAATAAGAATAAGTAGAGCTATTGTAGTCACCCGAGCGTCCGCGTCGGCGTCGGCGTAACCACTTATGTTAAAGTTTTTGTAAATAGTTTAATAAGTCCATTGACATATGGCTTTGAAACTTTGCACACTTGTTCACCATCATGACCCCAACCTGTAGACAGGAGGAGGTAACTGTATCAAGCATTTTGACAGAATTATGCCCCTTTTTCGACTTAGAATTTACTTTGAAGTTTTTGTAATAGTTCAAATATTTTCAAAGTCCATTGACATATGGCTTTTAAACTTTGCACACTTGTTCACCATCATGACCCCGACCTGTAGACAGGAGGAGGTAACTGTATCAAGCATTTTGACAGAATTATGCCCCTTTTTCGACTTAGAATTTACGTTAAAGTTTTTGTAATAGTTCAAATATTTTCAAAGTCCATTGACATATGGCTTTGAAACTTTGCACACTTGTTCACCATCATGACCCCAACCTGTAAACAGGAGGAGGTAGCTGTATCAAGCATTTTTTTTTTACTATCAAGCACTAAGAATAGTCGAGCGTTGCTGTGCTACCGACAGCTCTTGTTTTTATAAACTTGTTTGCTTGAAGAAAAAAACGATTCTGATGTCACTGATCTTTTTTCTACCGTCAATCTGAAATCATTCTAAGAATTTCTGAGGGTCATGTTTTGTCTTGGGTAGAGGGTAGAGTAATGTAACGTTGTTTTTTTCTTGAGATAATAAATCTCCAATGTCAAGCTTTGTTAAATCAATTAAAATTCAAAATATCGTTTGGTTCTGAGAATTTTCCAAGTTGTTAGCCCCGGAAAAATAAAAAGCATACGTAAAACATGTAAAATTGGATAAATACCGTCCAAGCACAAGAATTTAATGTAATTGTGTTTTGTATTAACTATACATCACAAATCTGTTTTAAAATTTTATGCTATAATAGCGTCAACGCACGTTTATTTCGTGTTATAAAGTCTGCAGATTCCCTAAGAACTGTTGGAGCCCTCGCCCTACCGGGCTCGGGCACCAACCGTTCCTCGGGACTCTGCAGACATTATAACACGGAAAAACGTGCGTTAACCCTATATTATAAAACTGGATTCGCATAACCTTCAGGTTTTATATCTTTTAAATTGATTTTAGGAGTTCTTTGTTCATAAGCCAAGTTATTTTGTGAAATAAATGTATATTATGTTACTCTTTCCGTAAATTATTCTTAATTGAATTTTCATGTTTACTATTTAATTATTACATGCCATGTTGAGGATATTTACCTAGTTCAAATATCAAATTGGGTAAGTAAAATAATTTTGATTGCTGATATTTGTATTAAGATTATATATTACAGTATTCAGGTATATATGTTTTACAGGTAGGAAGATTACTTGACCATGAGGAGTACCAGGCTAAGATTGTACCTTGTGTTGTAAAACTGTTTTCATCTACTGATAGAAATACAAGGGTGAAACTCCTGCAGCAAGTGAGTGTCTAATATAATCAGTTCCTCATTATTTTTATACAATAATAAGAGGATATTTTTTCGTTTGAGTGAAATATGGGATATATTTTCACGAAACATGATAAAATGCCACATATTTTCACGAGCCGGGACGGCGAGTGAAAATATGTGTTATTTTATCATGTTGAGTGAAAATATATACCATATTTCACGAAAAAACAAAAAAGTAAGCTTTTTATTTAATTTCATTATCGAAGAAAAGTGGTTACGAACCCCCTGGCATGCTAAGCAACTGTAATTGGACAGCGCACAGTAATATAATTGTTGTCTTGTTTTGCACGCGATATTTAACGCTAAATTGTGACGTCACGTTAACAACTCTTTTAACGTCTGTACAGCGTTAATGACTGAATTAAAGATACTGTAGTTCGGATTTATTTTCTTAGTTAGACCATTTTCTATCATTCTAGATAGTTTTCAAAACAAAATTTTGTATTTATCAGATTTTTCAAACAAAATGGCGAAAGAGGTCCCTTAAACTAAATATGAGTTTTGACTCCGCCCACTTTCATATTTATATTTCATATTTATTTTTAAAAAATATGAAATATATTTGACTGATATAGCACCATATTTCATGGATAAAATTAAATAAAACAATATATTTAAATGACTAACTTAACAACTACAGTCTTTAGTCATATTTTAATAGAAAGAAATAAAACTAAGACTGACAGCAAACATTCAGTCTTACATTTTACCAATTATTAAGATATGTGTTATTGTTTTTTAGATTGAAATGTTTGTGGAACATTTACATGCAGGGACTGTGAATGATAAGATATTTCCGAGTATCGTAACAGGTTTTATGGATACAAACCCAGTAGTCAGGGAGAGTACAATAAAGGTAATTATATTTGTATTGTAGTATATATTGTATTAAGATTTAAAGCTACATTAAATAAATATGTTAAAATATTTTTGCCGTCGGCCTAAAAACCAAGCATTCTACAGTTTCATTAACCTTTTTAACATTATCGTTGTAAATCGCATCATTATTCATAAATTAGGATTTTAAATGGAAAACCCCACGGTAACACTAAAGTTCGTATACGAATTTTAACATGCAAATGAAGACTATAATCAGCTCGTGTATGCGCTACGTCATGGTGTAATAGTTGCTATTCGGAACACAGCAAATATAAGATTTTCTTGTGCAAACACACTTTTACCGTTTAAGCTTCACGGTGCACTAGGCCTGTGGTTCAGAAAAAATAATCATCTCATAAAAAATATTAGATTTGTATGAAAATATCCATGACAATGTGGAAATATACCATTAAATTAGGACTGCTACTTATAGTCAAGTTTGTTGATTTAATATTGATGTACAGATGATCTGAAGGCGGAGTTTCTCATGCAAACAAAAATTGTACTTCCGAATTCGCCACGATGAGGTTGCACATTTGTATGCTCATTAAACTCATTTTGGTTGACTGGACACCAAAATAAGATCTGGAGTCGATATGAAACCCAACTTATTAATGAAATGTCGCTATTTATTTTTTTATGAAATTTATTTAAAGTAACTTTAATTCCTTTATTTAAGGATCTTTTTAGACTTTTTCTTGTATATCTTGTAATTTTTAGAAAAAATTTACCTTTATGTTAAAGAATCAAGGCTTATGAGGACTTGTCTCAAGTAAACATATTTGTTTTTATAATGGTAATATTTTTAGTACTAAAAGAACTTTGGCTTTGATGAAATTTGTCTAAATCAAACAATAATTACCATATATGCAGTGTTAGTTACATATAAAGGAAAACGTGGTACCTTTGTTTCAAATTATCATTTTAGGTTTCTTTTGTTCTCTATTTTATTATTTTATTTGGTTTTCAGGCTATGTTACACTTAGCACCAAAATTAAACTACAAAAATTTGAATGAAGAATTGATGAAACATTTTGCCAGATTACAGGCCAAAGATGATCAGGTATACTAAGTTTGTACAATATTTGGTATAGTAAACATAATTGAATAGGCAGAAGACTTTTGATCAAATAAAACATGGCTAAACAGAACACAGCACAGTGTGTTAGAGGAGAAAATTTTACAGTTGTCAGTAAATAAAGGGGTTGAATAAAAAAGTGTATGACACAATACAAAACCTCAAACTACTAAATTTGTAAAAATGGATTCACCCAGTGTTGAAATTGGATCAGTCCATTTAAAGTGTGATAGATTTCAATATAAAAACACAAAAAATTGAACTTCTCACAGTATAGAGACTTGCTGGGCTGCATGGATGTGCATGGGCTGTCAAGGCTCCATACTGGTGACATAGGCTTATCATATTCAGTTCCAATAGGTAAATGGTTAATGTTCAAAACTAGGACAGCTCAAATTGAACTTCTCATGTTATTGCATAGATACCTATCCTCTCTTGTTTAAGACATGTTTGTTTATTTTTATGAGTTTAATCAGTACTTCTTTATTTCAATTTTACCTGTAGCTGAGTGCTTCCTTAAGTAAGAAATTAGAATGTGCTCCAAAATTTAATCAGTTATAATAGATATGGATCAAGCTTTCATGTGTATAGCATGTGCAATTTGTATCATGCCAGAATTAACCTGCAGTGCTATAGTGAGGTAATCAGCTGACGATGTCATCTAATACTGTTAAACAATCAGCATTACACTTGGGAAAATGAAAATTTTGTTTGAATATATAAGTTTTATGTATGAAGATTTTCATATTTACAGGGTGGTATCAGAACAAATACAACAGTATGTCTTGGTAAAATTGGTTCCTATCTGAACCCTCAGGTATGTCAAATCTTTTCAGTTTTATCTTTGATTTAATTTAATTCATCTGATTTCATTGTTAATATAAATATGATAAAAACCAATGGAACATTTATAACTATTTTGTCTTTCATATTTGTACCTGTAAGATCAATATCCATTTAGTCATTGGCTTGTATTTTTGAAAGTATTTAATTGAGTAAAAGTTGTTAAACACCAACCATTTATCATCCACAGCTTGTTAAAATAGATTCTTGTAAACTTGTTGGTTATTACAGTCAAAAGAAAGATGAATTAGTTGTCTGTACTTGTCTGTATTCCATTAATGCCATCATATGAATAATTAACTCTAGTTTTAACGCATATTTTAAAGTTTGTTGTTTCTCATACTTTCTTACATGTGTTTTATGGGAAGATATATATAGAACAGTATGTATCTGTTATTATACGATATTTCAGTTAAGACAGCGTGTTTTATGTTCAGCATTTCTACGTGCTGTTAAAGATCCGTTCCCGCCGGCTCGTCAAGCTGGTATTATAGGTATGGGTGTGACCCAACATTTATTCACTATGGCAGATATAGCACAGAAAATGATGCCCTCACTCTGTATGATGACCATGGACCCAGAGAAACTTGTTAGAGATCAGGTGTGATAATATTAATGATAACTTTTATTTACACTTTATTCTAAGAACTTTTCTTATTTAGATATTAAAGAAAATGGTGAATTGTCCAATAAAGTTGCGAAACTCTTTATGGTCTATTTGAATGTTGTATATTGGTCAAAGATGAAACTGTTATAAATTTTCATTTATTTTTTATCTATCATACATAGATTTGAAATAGTTTGGTAGAAAATATGAACTTAAGATTGTAAAAGTGCATGCAATAGTTATATTGATTAGTTATACTATATTTATTTATGTTTAAAGATATTGTCCCTACAATGACAATTATTCTGTTATGACATTTTTATTTCAGGCTTTCAAAACTATAAAAAGTTTTCTAGAGAGATTAGAGAAACTATCAGAAAATCCAGATATGTTACAAGAGCTAGGTAGGCTTACTATAAGCTTGTATATATTTTAAAGAAGTGTTAAATGTATTATGTTAATGATTGTGTTATGTATGCAACATATTACATGTATATAGTTTGTATCTGACCAGTTGGTATTTCCAATATTATCATTGTTCTATTTTTAGAACATAAACTACATGTATGTACTAGAAGGTTCTTAACTGTTGTAGAAAACTCATGCATTATATTTAGATAGAAACTTCTGGAATGATCTTTATTGTTGAAGTTGCTAGATTATGATTACTTGAGAACATAATAGACCTTTCTGGAAACTTCTTAGTTAATATATATAAGGAGACATTTTTCATTAATCTTATCTTTAAGTCATCAGTTACCTTTTAAGTCATCAGTGATCTATTAAGTCATCAGTTACCTTTTAAGAAATCAATATATTTGGAGTATTATTCAACTTGGATATTAAGTGAATTATTGGAGCTTGGATTTTAAAATAAATTATTCTCGTGGATTTTATTGTGGGAATTTATTCTAAAGTGTTCTTGGATTTAACTTGGATTTAACTGTGCTATTAAAAAGGATCATTCCAGGATCAGACTAGACATTTGTAATTTTTCATTTTCATTTGGACTTCAGGTATTTGTTAACATAATTTGTTATTTTATTTTTCTTTAATAATTTTTCTGTAATAAATTTGTTATTGTTACAAGTTTGTTGCTGGCTTTTCTTTCTCG